TTGTTTGGTATCTAGATTTGCTCACCATTTACACTGCATGTAAATCACACATTTACACATGGTGTAAATGATGGGCATTTTTAGATTAATTCCCAGGATTATCAATCATTTACAGGGCATGTAAATTGGGTGCAATTCCAGATGAAATCCAAAATTTACTCCCAATTTAAAGACACTGTAAATGATGGGTATTTGTTGAGAAAACTTAAAGTTTCCTTCACATTTACATTGAGTTTACCGGGCCTGTAGTTCACAGCTTGCCCCCAGTGTTACCTTCAGTGGTTCCATCCAAAGAAGCGCGCTGGCGGGAAGACTCCGTACGAGATGTACTACGGGAAGAAACCAAGTATTGCGCACTTACGGGTTTTCGGTTCTGTCGCTTATGCGAAATTGATCCCTGTGCCGCCTAAATTGGATCCGCGGACCGTTAAAGCGGTGATGGTCGGGTATAATAAAACCACCGGCTATCATTTGTGGGACCCACAAGATCGCCGTTTTTTCTACGCCCGCGACGTCGTATTCGAGGAGGGAGCTGGGCACTGGTCGCGTGCCTCAGCAGGGGGAGTTTTGGAGGTGGCTGAGGAGGAGGATCCCGAGGACCCACCGCACGCTCCCATTCCTGCCCCTGATTCCGGCCTAACTGATGTTCTGTCTGACGCAGGCGAACCTGACACTGGCAAATCGACGCTTGACCCTGAGGCTCCTGTGGCGGTCGAGCCGCGTCGTTCCGGACGCACACATGTCCCATCCCAGGCGCTCCAGGACTCGCGTGCATTGCAGGCGCATGAAAACGCTGTGAATGCTGCACGCGAGAAATGGGCTATTGGTCTCCCGCCGAAACCCAAGAAGAAGTCGCGGGCAAATGTCGCCTTTCTCACTACGACTGTATCTGTTCCCCATAATTACCGGGAGGCTATGGAGCACCCGGAAGTTTGGATGGGACCGATGCAGAAGGAGTATGCGATGCTTCTGGGGCGGGAGACCTGGGTTCTTGTTGACCAACCCGCCGGTGCTAACATCGTGGACTCTAAATGGGTTTACGCTGTGAAGTACGACACGGAGGGGGAGGTTATCAAGTGGAAAGCCCGACTCGTCGCCAGAGGTTTCCAACAGATTGCCGGCGTAGATTTCTTTGATACTTATGCCGGAGTCGTTCGGTATGAGTCACTTAGGATGCTATGGGCGATTTGTGTGGAGGAACCAGGCTGGGTGATGTGGGCCATGGACATCGTGAGCGCGTACCTGAATAGTGAGATGAAGGAGACAGTGTACATGCGTCAGCCAGAAGGGTTTGCCGTACCGGGACAAGAGAACAAGGTGTGCCTCATGAAAAAGTCCCTTTACGGATTCATGCAATCAGGTCGCAACTGGGCCGAGCACCTGAACGCGTCACTTGGTGCATTGGAGTGGGTACGCTCTCGCGCAGATCCTGCAATTCGCATCCGCACGACCACTGCGGGGACCTCGATTATCGGTGTCTACACGGATGACATCGACGGGATCTCGACTTCGACTGCCGCTGCCACTGAGGCTCAGACTGGGATTAAATCTGCCTACGACGTAACCGACGTCCCTCGCACCACTACCTCACTTGGCATGACCATCGAGTACGACGAAGAGTCTGGTACGCTTTCGATATCATCGAAGCCTTACCTCCAACGCGTCCTCAAGCGGTATGGGATGTCGGAATGCAACCCCAAGTCGACTCCACTCCCTGTTGGTGTCCCGGTCGTTCCGTCGAAGGAGCCGCTGTCCGCCGCTGAGCGCGATTTTATGGCAGACAAGCCATACCGAGAAGCCGTGGGCTCACTCCAGCATGCCGCCAACACCACGCACCCCGATCTAGCGTACAGCGCGAGCTGTGTCGCTTCTTATGTCCAGAATCCCCAACCGCAGCACTGGAAATTTGTCCAGCATATGCTCGCGTATGTGAAGGGGACTCTGGACTATAAGATCACATACCGGCGTGGCGGTGGCTTGGGGATTAAACCTGTGGGTTGGATAGACACAGATTTCGCGTCGGACCTCACAACACGTCGCTCGACATCCGGAGAAGTCTTCATGATGTCGGGCGGCCCCGTCTCATGGTCGGCGAAGAAGCAGGCAACCGTGGCGCTCTCGACTGTCGAGGCCGAGTATGTTGTGCTCACCCGCGGCGCGAAACAGTCCATGTGGATGTATAGCTTCCTTGACGAGTTGCGCATGCCGCAGGAGCGCCCAGCAATCCTCTACTGTGATAACACAGGCGCGACGGCACTGGCGAAGGACGCGAAGGGGCACGCGCGGGTCAAACATATTGACATCCGCGAGCACTACATCCGCAAACGCGTCGAGGCGAACGACATCGAGGTCCTTCGCGTCGAATCAGCCAATAACCTCGCCGACCTATTCACAAATGTCCTGCCCCGCGACGCGCATCTTGCGGGCGTCCGTGCCCTTGGCCTTACAAGCTAGACGCTACGTATTTTTACTTTACTCTTACTTTACATATGACTTTATCACCATCCTTCCTACCCTCTATCCGTCCCTATCCGTTCCCCATTCACTATATGCCCATCCGCGCCAGGGGGAGTGTCTAAGTAGAGGCTCAGCTGGCCATATAGCTGGGGTGCTACCGTGCCCGTTGACACCGTTATTCCCCCACATACTATATTTCATCTTGTTTCACTATGATCCTTACTACCGATCACCCCTAAATACCTATATAAGACTCGTACCCACGGACTCGCACCTCAGTAGTTCACCTTGAAGTGCCCGGCTGAGGTGCGTCTCTTCTTACTTTATTTATTCATCTCTTACTTACGACCGTACTAGCATTACTTCATCTATTAGGTGTTTCTAATACAGTCGTTCACCTTGAAGTGCCCGGCTGAGCATTACTTCATCTATTAGGACACACACAAGTAACATGCAGGACACGCAGGACACGTACACGTACACGCAGGATCACGTAGAACACACACACACGTACACGCAGAACACACAAGGGAATATCCCGAAAAGCTGATAGATTGATAATAACTCGAAAATACAAGCACGTCCCCAAGGACAGCCTCGATAAATCAAGCCGGTGGTTCCACCCTTCTGTCCTCGCTGGAGCAGACCGCTAGTCTCTCCGCTTTACGCTTCCGGGTAGGAGTCCGTGCCTTCTCCCTACAAGCTGCCCACCTTATATACTGTTCATCTAAAAATAACTCTACAAACATAATACATTAATCATCGGCGTAACCATGTCCGTGACTCGAGAATATGAAATAATGATTGCCAAGCTTGCTGACTGATTATTTTAGATCCTGAAAATGTTAGTTCTGGATTAGTCCCTCGAGACATTATGGTTGGATTGGATAGCCCTTCAAAATGCCTCTTTATAGACACCCTGAAATTGTGTATAGCCCAAGAACTACCCTAGACCGTTTAACCGTCGAGGTGGAACCTGGTTGAGCAGGCTCCCTATTTGTCTGATTTATTTCTGACATGATCAGGGCCCTGACTTGGCACCCAAGCGGTCCTAATATTCTGGATTTCTTGGGCGCACTACTTGTGTCCCTCAAAGGATTCTTGGAAATCCGGAACCTTGGGTCTTTTGTCTACAATTAGACACCCTGGTCCCCTTCATAGCTCAAGTAAGAACCTTCTTCCTAAATTGGGTTCGAACTTGGTTGCCATATTAAGCTGATCAATATTTGATGGGTGTATGACACTGCATCCAGATCCGGCCCGTTCTGGTCTTGAAAGGTTCTGGGTCATCATGTGATTGAATGTGTCACCTCATTGGTACAAGCATGGACAAACAATGTTGAAACTCATTCAAGATGCACTTGCTTTGAGTTCCACAAATAGGCACAGAATGGATGTTTTATTCCCCAATGTTCGTTTGGACTATCCGCAACCTCCTGCCCATAGTACAACAGTAGGATCCAGAACCAGCGGCATATTAGTCGGAGGCACCCAGTATGTGTGTTTTCTGGATACTCATCTGCAACCGGTTCCGGATTTGGTTTCTAGCGTGTAGTTCCAGGTCTACTGACTTGGGACTCGTCATAGACCCAGATGCGCGTGTATCTGCAATGGAAATCCAGAAAACGTTAATTTTCAGGTGTTGGCGAATTCACGACTTATCACCGAGTGGCAAGTGAAGGGAACGTCCGGAACGAGCAGAGCAGAGCGCTCAGCTACTGAGTTCAAGCTATGACATCAGTGACATCAAAGGCTCCACCGCTCTTGCATATAATAACATCCCCAATGTGACGGTGTGACTTCAGTGCTCTTTCTTCCCTCCCACCACCTTCTCCTTACTGTTCATGCTTCGTGTTCGCTTATCCATTTCTGGGAGACGTCCAGGTCTGTGGTGAGTTGTTTGTTCTCTCCTTGCGACTCGCTGAATGCTTTACTAGTTTGTCCCTTCAGCGTTTGGCATACTCCGAGTCCACGCACTGCCAGATTGATACGTAGCTCATTTGGGAACAAGGTATGCCATGTAAACTTCAATTTATGCCTCCTGTTCATTGGTTGTTGTCGTCTTTAGCTCAGTTTATCTCAGTTGATAATGTTTGAAGGTGTGTTTGACTATATCGGACTCAATTTACTTCTGCACCTTTTCTGTTTGGTATTTTTCATATATTGTATGTATATTGTTGTGGTTAGAGCCAATATTATGTGTGCATGATATGGATCCAAATTTGGATGTGATGCTCCTTTGAGCTGCAAGGCCTATCATGCGCTGTAAGGTCTGTAATACCTTATAGCCCTCTGTGAAATGTATCTGTCCTTAGCGCGGTCTATAGTACTTTTTAGAAAGATAGGCCCTCCCACAACCTTATGGGCTTATACTGCCATATAACCCCCTTATACATACATATCTGCCAGAATGGATTTTTGCGACAACAACAGCAAAAAGAAGGCAAATTATTGGTGGATTAAATCCCGGCTTTTCCCTGATCATGGAGACTAGCTTGAAAGGCCTGTGGAAATAGAAGGAAAGCGGACATATGCAAAACGATAACCCCCGGCGGGACTCGAACCCGCAACCTCCAGATCCGATTACGTAATCAACGTAGAAGTCTGACGTCATAACCATTAGACAACGGGGGCTACATGTTTCCAGCCCCAGCCCGTTGGTATACCAGGAATGGATCCGCCAACAGATTCTGAGCCCTCCCATTCAGACAATACGGACATGCACTCGTTTTACCCCCACTGCTAAGCTTTTTTATGGTTTTACTCTTGACCCCACAAGACAACATTAGATTTATAACTGCGGAAATCTCTCAACTCAACGTTCATCAGTTTTCGCTTACTTGGACGGGCCCAAAATACCCTGCGACACACCATAGATATCTAGATGAACAGCCAATACCTTCTATGTTTCTCTTTTTTTTTTTTGTGCCCCAATTATTAAGGAATGTTGAATTTCATCTATGTTGATTGTTGTTTGTCCAGTACGCCTCCATCCAAATATGGAAATTTTACTGAGGTCTCACTTGCGAGAGACACAGCAAACGTATTTTCTTTTTCAAGAACATTCTCTATCTCACAAAATTTCGGGTGGAGCATATTTGAATCATTTTTACCGGGAACAAATCAATCACTTATGCCACACCGATCGGGCCTGTTTAAGAGCACACGAATAATTGTGGGAATGCGAACATTCGAAGATTGTTGAACAGAGCGCTTCACATTGGGGAAGAGAATGCTGGCACGCAGCCCCATACCGATACCTCCAAAAGTCCAATGCCCAGGCCAGTCTTGCGTCGGTCTGCGCAACTTGGACGCTTTATCGACACACCTCTCACATGGCGCAATAGAGCATCGAAGGTGGCTCACCTGAAAAGGCGTTGAAACCTTCGAATGCGTCCCTCTGCTCCGAGTCCGTGCACTTGAAGTTGATATGCGTCCAGAGTCAGTAACAAACTCCAGCAGCCTGAGTGCACATTTCGATTTTTTTCGAATTCCCTTCAACCATTGGCCGAATATCGACGACCTTCCTGTGCAAAAAGCTAGGAAGGAATGTGATTTCCCAATACGTCCAATTTACGTCCCTCGTAAATTTGTACGTAGTTCGATCAAAACCACACCTTGTACGACGCGTCTCTTTCGCAAACCACCTCGACCTACATCCTGAACCCACGCAGACGCTGAAAATCCGGAGCCTCAATAGCTGCAACATGGCAGGCCTCAACATGGTAGGCCGAGACGTCCAACTCCCTTACTTTACTTATTACTTGCCCTGACCCATCTCTCTAGTTCGACTATGCCTCTTCCCAAGTCGACCTGGACAACATGAACAAAGGCAAGACCATGAGGGCTGCACTCGCGGCCGCATTGATCGATGGTCCCGAGGCCGCTGAAGCCAGACACAACGCGTGGGTAGCCACCTTCCAATCGCGGCCGCAGAGCTGGAATCGCAGTATCCCGCGCGGTGACGCCGTCAAGACCCGTTCGGTCGACGAACCCGAGGCCCAGTCGTCGAGATCGGGCACGACCGCCAAGGGCCAGGACCTCCTTCAAGCGGAACCGAGTCCCAGTGGCCTCACGTGCGGCGTTCAGGTCGTCAAGCCCGTCGAGACTGGTGTTGTTGACGATACCGACACTCCTAGAATCGTGAACGATATCAACACTTTTCTGAGCTTCGTGCCCCAGTTGCGAGCAAAGTGCACCACCTCTGTACGTCCGCTTGGATTATGGTCCAACGGTCGGCTCGCCATTGATTGGGCTTTAGGAACAGGAAGAGTTGCTGAGCAGTCTAATAGAGTCGATGGAGCTCGCGAAACGCTACCCTCCAAATGAAAAGGAGATCGAGGAGTGCGTTAAGATGCTGGAAGAACTTCCCGGGTGGTTCCCGGAAGACTCGGAGAAAAACTAAAATGCAGTTTGCCTTGAATGTTTGCATTGACACTGTTTGTAATTGAAGTACCAATTGAAGTAGTGCCTTGGGCCGTCGAACCGATTTCTGCATACATGAAGACAATAACAAAAATAAAGAGGTGCCTAGGGAGCATCGCTGGATGGTTCTGGTAGAGTGAAAGATAAACAGTGCCGCTTCCAGTAACGAGTCCGAGTCCTCGTGCGTAGCGATTATTTCGAAAGGGAGACGGGAAGTAAGATTACGAGTGACGACTAAAGAAAAACTACGAGTTTGTGATGGCCATTTCGTCCCCAGCGGGGCGGGTGGTCGAGTCGATGTCGGAGGTAACGCGGTCCTTGAGGTGGGGGTGGGCGGGGATGGCGCCAGCGATATCCATGCGGTCGTCTGGGCGGCGATACGCTGCATCGGAAGGGGTGCGGGGCATGCGGCTCGAATAGGTGTGGTCCTCGAGATCGTTGCGATTGTAGTCGAAGCGCCGGTCCCTGGGGACCGTCGAGCGATGAGGAGAACCGTGAGGGCGAGGTGAACGCGAACGCCGCCGAGAGCGATCCTCCGGGTGGTGGTAATCAGAATAGGAATCAGGATAGCGGTCGGAGGGATAGCGAGGGCCGTGCAGAGAAGAGCGAGAATCTGGGCGCGGACTGTACGGTACATTTTGGTAGCGCGAGCTGGAAGGGAGATAGCGCGAAAAGACATCCGGGTGCGGCGGGTAAGGCGACTGCTCGGGGTAGCGCGAATCGGGGCGATAGCTGGAGTCGATGTATGTGTTACGAATCGGAGGTGGGTAGCGGGTGTCGGCCTGCGGATGGCGGGGGGGTTGGACATTTTCAAGATGGCGCGGCCGGTGCGAGAATCTGCCGCCATTGTAGGAGTAGTGCAGATTTCGCGTCGGATTAGACAAAGTTCTGGAGTCTCCCTCGTGGTTGGTTATCTCCGTTGAGGGGTGCGGATGAAGCGGCGCGAACTGGTGCTCAGCGGGATATTGCTGGTGCTGCTGCTGGTACATCTCATGCTGATGGGGAAAGGACGACGTGGGTTGTTCCTGCTGCGGCTGCGGCTCCAACAATTGCAAAGGCTGGCGGTTACGAGCTGGCGCCACGAGCTGGTACGACGAGACAGGCGTAGACGCCTTCAAGCAGGTCTCCAAATCCTTGCGCTGAGAGATAACGACTTTGAGTTCCTCCTCGAGGTTTTTGGCGCGGTTGGCGTGGGTCTCCAAGTTGCGGTTCGCGGTCTCAAGAGCGGTCTTCAGAGTGTCGATTTGGGATTGCAACTCGGAGCGGTCCTTGGAGTTGATACAGGCGGCAGCCAAGGCACGGTACAGGGTTTTTTGGAGCAGGGTCGTGCAGCGTTCGCAGCCGTCTTCTTCCTCCGCGACTTTCTTACTTTTCTTGTTCGACGCGTCTCTGATGGTCAAGGGTCAATAAGGCGTAGATTTCGCGCGCATAGACTTACTTTCCAGCTGCACGAGAGCGCTTGCTGTTGGTCGCGGCGCTGGCGGTGGACATGGTGGCGACCAGGGATATAGATGGAGTCCTAATTTGAAGAAAAAAGTGTGTCGAGCTTAGACCGGCAAGAAAGGCCTCGTCGATGTAGACTGCAAAAGGGAAACGAGTGGCTGTGCCGATCGAACTCAAACCCTCAACGCGACTACCACTCCAGTACCAAGGGTCGTGGTGAACGTCCGGGTTATTTTCTGGTCAACCCACAACGCCGCACAGGAAATATAGAATACAATGTATATTCTACAACGAGACCGTGACTGAAAAGGGAGCTCACGTTTTCTCCTCCCGTTTCTTCCTGGCCAACTTTCGCTCAATAATACCCACGTACTGTGCCATTCCCTTTTCCATAAGTTTCAGCTTGGCACCGCCGACGCGATATGTCTTTCCAGGTGGACTGGCATCCTCCTCGTCTTCCTCACTCGATGAGTCTTCCGACACAGCGTCGTCCTGCGCTGCATGTCGCAGCGATTCGCCCTCGATTACGACGCGGCTAAACCAGCTGCACAAAGGGATGAGCATCCAGGATTACAGCGTCGAGCAAAAACCCACCGGTCGTGCGTGATGATAATTATCGCGCCCGTGAAAGTCTTGAGAGCTGTCGCGAGGGCCTGGATGGTATGGAAGTCTACGTGCGTAGTGACTTCGTCAAGCAGCAGCAGCGGAGGCGGTAGGAACACTATGAGTGCTATGGCCAGCCGAACCTGTCGTCCACGGTGAGTCTGTGATATCAACGGGAAAATTAAATTTACCTTCTGCCCGCCACTCAGCTGCACAAGCGGCGTATCACTCGCGATCTTGCCTTGGAGGCCAAAGGATCCTAGGCACCTCCTAGCATCTTGCTCAACCACTGTTTCACCTTTGGCCTCGAAATGTTCCATGAAATAAGACAATGCTGTCACTGGCCGACCCGACGTCGTTGATTGGGCCCGAGGGCCTGACAATTCTTCGACCGAATGTTGCCCTAGTTTCCCCTTGTTAGCGTTCCAATCTATGTGTCGCCACACTGCGTCCTCACCGTAGTATCCAATCTTAAGAAGCGGATGTCGGACAATATTGCCCTTGGTCGGTTTGAGCGTGCCCATGATAAGCTTGGCAATAGTCGACTATATAAATCTGTTAGATACTTAACCAATGGAAGAAGACTGTCAAAACCTTGCCCTGCCCGTTCGCACCTATCAACTAGTCAGACACAGAAAAATAAGATGGCTAAACATCTAGTTACCGACAAATGCACATCGACCACCTTGATTAATGGTGAACGTGATATCTTCGAGGAACGGCTTCTTGGCTTTCGGGAACCGGTATTCCACCGCATCAAAGTGTATCAAGTCTCCCGCAGTTCGCAGCTTTTCTGGGCTCTCGATGTTGATTTTGATTCTGGGCTCGGTGACGACGCTTTCCACGTCCTGTCGATTCGAATTATAGTAGCCTACATTTCAAACGAGAAACGAGTTAGTTATGAATTACAGTCTCTGTCAAGAGAAACTACCTACCAACCATGTCGCGATTTAACTTGAATCGGGTCCCTTTGGCGCTGGTTTCCGCTCCCCACCGCTCATCCAATCTAAAGACGGAAATTAAACAGGGACTAAATAGGAAAGCGACGACGAACTTTTTCTGGCGCGATTTTGCCATCCGCAACCTTTAACGAACGATTAGACGATTCGTACATTCAAAGTTTCAAACGAGAGTACACACCTGTTGTCATCTCCAGTCTTCTT